AACAACATTGTCCACATTTTAATCTGCTAAAGAAACTTAGATGAAGACATTAAAAATTTCCGTAAGTCCATTATTGAGCAAATACGTCTTGAAGGAAAATACATTTGTGAGGCATCGGGGGGAAATCGGGAGCTCATCAAAATAATGAAATCAAAGAAACTGTCACTCTTCCTCCTGTTTGGCAATTTTCTCGAATTTTTGTATTTTGGCTGAACACATTTTATGACCATTTAAGAACACATTTTTGTGTGGGTGTTTCTGAAAAACATTGATTAAAGGCACAAAAAAAAGTAAAATTTCTGTTTCCAAGGACTCTTAGGCAATGGAAGTTACCAAACTTTGGCGGCCATTTTCTCACTAATTTTTACCTCTGAGACCAGGCAACCCTGACCTCCTTCAACTGCAAATATTTCTACTTCTGTTTAAAATAAATGAATATTTTTTTCACCAATAGGAAGACAAATGAACAGGCTTTAAGATGATACCAATAACCCCATATGCTCAAAAATTGACGAGTGCCAGATTCCACCACGTTGTGACGTGACACATTTATCAAAAGTATGGATCTACAGTCTTGCAAGCACCGAAATCAGAGGAACGCTCAAATCTTTTAATTATATACGAATTTCACCATATATACGTGAAAACAAAAAATACAAAGAATATTCTTGTAAGACCAAATTTGGGACCCTGAAATTTTTTTGCAATGTGCACGTTTCTCCATGTGCATGTCTGCTATGTGCATGCTAGAATGTATTTCATACAGAGACTTTAGGGCCCAATAAACACTAAAGGCTTTCCAATGTCAGAATGAGAACAAATCTAATACTCTTTTAGAAGCTGTGTCCTTTTTCTGTTGTAGATTTTCAGTCTGGTCATAATCATAGCTTAGACATTAAAAAAACTGACAGCCAGAAAAATACTGAGAAACAAAAAAGAACAGCACTGACATGATAATGATCATTTAGTGCAGAAATAGAAATCGAGCAGGATGGACAGACAGAGACAGCAGAGGGAAGAAAAAGAAGAAGGACAAGCAGGAGCACCGCCCTTCAAACACAAGCAATGCATCAGGAATATTCCAAGAAGACGAGTGTCCCCTTGTCCTACACAAGTACTTGGAATCTAAGAGTCTTTAGTTTTAGTAAGAGTTTTACGGCACTTACAACAAAATAAGGTCATATAAGTGCCGAAGATTAGAAGTGTTACAAGAGAGTAACAAACACAAAAAAGGAGGGGAGATAAAGACGATAGATGTTTGATAGGAAAAAAGAAGAAAACCACACCAGAGCACCTGCCTACCACACACGGAATCTAAGATAACAAAATCTTTTAGAAATGCAGTAAGAGGCAACAGGACCACAGCACAACCCTCTATAAAATAATAAGGAATAAAAAATTGATTGCACTTTCAAAATTATCTCAAGCAATGTAACAAATTATGAACATGAAACTGAATGTCTCTTGAGGAAAATAAAAATAAAATAGCCCTATGCATGATCATTACAAAAATGAAGCCTAAAATATAATTATGGAGTTCTAGTTAGAACTGTGATGTGAAGCATGGCAAATAAAGAAAGAACATACACCGTGTGACAGTAAGAATATATGAAAAAAGATGCCGTTTGCCAAACAGCTTGACCTTGACCATCAATGATTTCTTTATATTATAGAGGCACCAGCCATCCATGTGCAGGTGCTATTATAGCCTCTTTTTCCTGTCTACGAATTAATATTCTTTTTTTGTCAATTTATTGGTTCCGCTTCCATGTTCCCCGTATCTATTTGTAAAACAGCTCTAGAAAAGCTTATTTCAACAGGAAAAAAACAACAACCCCTGCCTCATTCTGTCTCAACAGAGTGTTGGGTTGGTTCCTATAACAGTCCAGTGAAAGACACTACTAGAGGATACACTTTACTTCACTTCTTTAGTTTGGTAGAAAAAAAAGCTTATATGGTACAGTTTTGGGCAAGGCAGTTAGAGCTTGAAGCGACCGTTTCTTATTTTTATTAATTTTTTTTCTAATGCAAGTGTTTTCTGCCCCTATTAACAATATTTAGATCATTTAGGAGGCTGGCTTCCATCTGTCGGGGCGAATCCAGGCTGAGACTACAGAGAGGCATTCAACATCCCAACAGGAAAACTAAGATACTTATAAAAATTCTCCCCCGCCCAAAGTGGGAATTGAACTTGGTCCTCTGCGTGCAATGGCAGAGTGCTTTACTTTACAGCTACAAAACAAACACTGGTTGGATCAGCCTTTTTTTTCTCCCACTGACCATCTGCTTCTAGCGGTAAGGCTACTAGACTCGGAATCGTGAGGTGGCGGGTTCTGGGGTTCGAGCCGTGGGCCCGACGTTGTGTCCATGGGAAAGGTACTTTACATGAATGTTCCTCACTTCACTCAGGTGGAAATGGGTATCCGGCCATAGACAGCGAAAGATCTTGTCAGTATGTTAGTGTTTTAGCGTCTATAAAAGGCAGCTTGCATTGTATGCTTCTGAAGTAGTTGAGATGGTATCAGAATGCTCTCAGGTCTGCTGGGGTAATAATATAGATTGTGAAGGGCATAGAGCTTGCCGATGAGCGGAGATTTGAGCTATACAAATGCTATCTATTATTATTATTAGAAATAAAAGCTTGTAGAACTATGGACCAGATAATGGGCATATGCAAGCTAGCAGCATGACATCTGTCTAAAATACTAATGTCTGAATACAAAGTATGTAAATGAAAAGGAAATGTATTTTTTTTTACAACTTTCTCAAGTCTACAAATGTAAATCAGAGAAAGAGACAGCCACAAATCAACAGGAATCCCCTGAAAGAATAAACTCCTTGCTCCAGGTATATTAAATTCTGAGTGGACTTCTCGAATTTTCATTAAAGGCAATGACTGATACTCATGATACTCATGGTGTCATTGGTAGTCTCGTGATTCGGACCGGTTATCGTGAGGTCGCCGGTTCAGGGGATCGAGCAGCAGGTCTGTCTTTATGTCTTTGGGAGAAGAACTTTGCATGAATTTTCCTCACTTCACCCAGGTGGGAATGGGTACCCGGCCATAGATACCGAAAGATGACAGATCTTGTCAATGTATGTCAGTGTCTTAGTGCCCATAACTAGCAGCTTGCACTGTATGCTTCCCAGGAAGTTGAGATTGTTCCTGAATGCCATCAGGTCTACTAGGGTAATAATAGATGGTAAAACGCACACAGCCAGCTGTTGAGTTGGCATTTGTGCTATATATATACAAATGCTATCAATATTATTGTTATTATTGTACTACTAGGGAATAAAATTACGAACATGAAAACAACAGGCTTTTTCGTAGTAAATGAGATCTATTACAATAATAATTGTGCTAGAAAATAAATAACAGATAGGAAACGACATTTGTTTAGTAGGGTCTTTTTGTAGTAAATGAGCTTTTAGAGTTGAAGCATTTGTGAGGCAGCATGGTGAAATCAGGCGCTCGTCAAAATAATCAAAGTGAAGACACTGGCATTTTTCTGCAGGTTTGTGAATTTTTTTCGAATTTTCGTTTTTTGGCCCAATACCTTTCTGTGTGGATTTTACTGGAAAGCCTTGATTAAAGGCACAAAAAAAATAAATTTTCAGTTTCCATGGAATCTTAAGCAAAGGAAATAACTCATCTTTGGCGCCCATTTTCTCACTAATTTTAACTCTGAAACCAGGTGACCCCCACCTCTTTCATTCCCAAATATCTCGACTTGTATTCACGATAAATAAATATTTTTTTCATCCAAAGCAAGACAAACGAACAAGCTTTAAGATGATACTAATACCTCTACATGTCCCAAAATTGACGAGAGCCTGATTCCATCACACCGTGACACATTTATTTACTCTCCTGATCATCTCCGAAGGGAGTCTTACAGAGCTTCACAAAACGTCTCCGGCAGGCCAGATCGTTGACATTTTCTCATCAAGTCATTATTATCCTCACAACACTATATAATATGTCATCAGTCTTGTTCCCAAATCACTCAAATCAATTTCTGATGGTTTTCAAATTAAGCTGATATTGAAAGCCGTATCTCACAATAAAGATTTGCTCTTTTGGCGCTCATATGACCTTATGCAGTTGTGAGCACTGTAAAACCTTCACTAAAACTACAAAAACTTAAAAAAAGATTTGCTCCGTTTTGTTATTTTTTCCCTGATAATAAAGAGTGCCCTCAGTCATAGTTCTAATTTTGGTGCTTGGCCAAATACTTTAAGAGAGATCAAATCTTTTGATTAATTAAAATGTCAGCTGAAGTCATTTCTGTTTTTAAATTAATAAGATGAATATTTGGAGTAATTTTCTTTTCGTCAGAACACAACGTTTTATGTTACTGTTGTACATTGTATTGTATTGCAAAGCGCTAAGAGCCTGTGTACTTAGTCGGGATTGAGCACTATATAAATGTCATTTATTATTATTATTCTGTTTTTCTTTATATTTTCTCAAAACTTAGAGAAAAATTACGTGGGCGCCTGTGGAAAAACACCCGTGTCATAATGTCATGAAAAGTAAAGAATAAAAGAAGACAGAATTTCTCAAACTAAAATAAAACAAGACTATCTTCGGCCAAAGAGGAAAGTCTGAAGAACAGGAGAACAGATTTTTTTTTTTTGGTAAGTGTTTTACCACGCTCGCAACTGCATTTTCAGTTTGTAGGAAATTTTGAATTTTGGGCGGGCGTCTTGCAAACGGGACTTCTGAGATTTTTCACCCATGTCCAAGAAGGGTAGGTGTACATCTTTCCTACCAGAAGATCAGGGGTGTGGCTGAAAGACAGCAGTGAGGAGCCAAGGAGTAGCAGTAGAAAGGCTGCAGAAAGGGTCAGGAGCCCAGGGGAGGGGACAAAGGAGGTGAGGGGTTGGGGGTAGAAAGTGGAGACGAAAGCAGATGACAAAACACTTCTAGAGAGCAGGAAAGGAGACAATTTCAGTAAAGAAAATTTTTCCGTCGCTACCCGGATTCGAACCCACGACCTTTGAATGAGAGGCGAACACCTTAACCACTAGGCCTCAAGAGCCCCTTGTGCCTGATTTGACCACGATGTTCTCAGTATCTACAGTACAGGTAGTAGGGCCTTGTCCAATTCACCAGTCTCAGGCATCTGGTATCTTTGCTTTGATCGCAGCTATCTGGAAAAAAATGAGATGAAAATGTTTTATTACAATTTTTTAAAAGTAAGTTTTCCGGCTTTTGCAATCACAATAAGGTCATATAAGTGCTGAAGAATAGAGGTGTTACAAGAGAGGAACATACACAAAAAAAAAGGAGAGATAAGGATGATAGATGTTTGATGGGCAAGAAGGAGCAAACCACACCAGAGCACTCTCCAACCACCCACAGATGAAAATGTAAAAGTATCACATGGGAACAACTCATCAGTGCTGTCAGTCATAAACTACAGAACCCCCCCCCCCCCCCCCCCCACATATTATGATTCTGCGTCATTGTCAGTTATCCTTTCATGGAACAGAACAGCAGATTAACACTTATTAGTTCAAATGTTTTGTGTGCCCCTTGACACAATATAGTTCATTTAGGGAGATGAACTGCTTCATGCATGTCTGTCAAGGCCCACAAAGGGTAGAAGGAGATACCAGCTTTCAATTAAAAAGACCCCCCCCAAAAAAAACCCAACAACAAACCAACAACAATATCACTTAGGAATTAAACTCGCATCTTCTGCAAGCAAGGCAACGAGACTAACAATATTACTCAATAGACATTCATTTGGATAGGTCTTATAGCATTTTAGGAATAGGACAAGACTACATCTATGCATGATGTTAAGAATTATGTTCTGTGATTAGACATTGGAAGCCAGAAGAATATCCAACCAGCTGATATCTGGCATGATCAGCAAGAAGACCATTTCATGGATCTATTGTGCCGCATGCAATTATGTCTATTCTCCATCCAGGTAAATAAGCCTAAGTAAAGATCTTTTTTAAATGCCATACAAGCCTCCACCCGTGTGGTTCTCAGGGCCCTGTCCAAGAGACAGGGGAGCAAAGAATAGGACCACTGTATCCGTACCGCGTATGTCGTACAAGGCGACTAAGTTCGGTTGGGCAAAGGGTTAGCAGCCCTTTCCCATAAAACAAAAGCAGCTACAAAAACATCAACAGCAAAAACAGCACGACCGCCAGTTCTGGAAGATGGAGGACCTTCATCACCGAGGAGAGGAGAGAATAGAGAGTGTAGAATGACGCAGGGTGGTGAAAGCCGAAAGGAAGCCACCAAGCCGAGAAACCTCCTGTCGACCAGAAAAACCACCAGACTTGGCACCTGGAATGTTCGTACAATGTACGAGGCAGGGAAGGCACTGCAGGTTGCAAGAGAGATGGAGGCCTACCAACTGAACATATTGGGTCTCTGTGAGACGAGATGGATGAATGCAGGGGAGTGCCAACTTGCTTCAGGGGAAACAGTTCTCTACTCTGGACATCTGGAGGAAAACTCGCCACATACAGAAGGAGTAGGTATTCTGTTATCAACACACGCCAAGCGGGCTTTGATAGGATGGAAAGCAGAGGGCCCGATACTAATATCAGCTGAATTCCGTTCACAGGAGAAAGACATCAACCTTCATGTTATCCAGGGATATGCCCCCACCAATGATAAGGACCAGGATGTGAAAGAGACTTTCTACAATATTCAGGTGAAGAAATGGAAATGGATTGGACACACCCTGAGGAGACCCCGGACAAGCATCATCAGGCAGGCCTTAACATGGAACCCACAAGGAAAGCGTAAGAAGGGAAGACCTAAGAAGACACGGAGGCGAGCGGTATCAGCAGAAATTGAAAAAGCGGGGACATCAAGGAAACAGATAGAAAAGGATGCTCAGGACAGGCTTCGCTGGAGTAATGTTGTTGATGGCCTGTGCTCCACTGGGAGTTAAAAAAAAGGGCAAGAGAGAGATACAAGCCTCGATTGCTCTTAACACCATGAACATCTATTACTCTTTCAAGTATTTCATTTGCCCATGTGATAATGAAAAAAAATGTAATTTAAAAACGAATTTTTTTGTCTTCTTCTCGTCCCTGAAGATTTCAGTGCTCGCTTTCTTGCCATGATTTGCGGTGGCAAAACAACAGAATTAACTCATACTTGGCGAAAAACAGGATCGAAACAAGCTAGCAAAAGTTTTTACAAGCTACAAGCTGCCTATTATCTTCAATGAAAACCTGGATAAGTGGTTCGGACTCCATTTTGTAGACTGGTATTTTGCTACGAATATCATCGTAGCTTGATGGATGGAAGCACGCGGCAGCTACGAAAATACTCGTAGCTCGGGTGCAATAGGTTGAGAAGATGTCACATTTTCACTGTAGAAAAAAATGGGAGATATGACAAGAAAGCACTGAGGATGCGAGTAGCAGACCACAAATCAGAAATATGACTTTGCATATCTATTTCTTAGTTTGCATGCTGTTGCCTGCCTCTTTCATTTTCAGATAAAAAAAAAAAACTAAGTTGAAAAAAACTGAATGAATAACAAAGTTGTGCTTCCTTTTAACCCTATCCGTACGTCGTGTTTCACTATCGTATCCATGCTCTGTGCCACCACTTTCCAAAGAGGAAATTTACTCCTTAATCCGATCCGTACGCTTTGCATAGCAGTCTGTAAAAATGATTTTTTTTAGAAATACTGAAAGTTTCAAAGAGATCTTCGTACTAGAAATATTCTAAAATGTGAAGAAAACAACCCCAGGGGTACAAAATGACCCCAGGGCGTACGGATAGGGTTAAATCACATCCACCTCATGAAAATAAAACAAAGAGTACCTCTTTTTCTGCTAACTTTTTCTTATTCATCATCAGCTCAGCCTTCTGCACTTCTCCCACTCTGACATACTGCCGCGCCTCTTGCTCAAAGCTGACAGCTTCACTTTTCACAACAGCCAGATATGCTGAGGACAGAAAAAACAACAACATAATCAAAATTGTATTTCTTTATTTGATTCTTTCTTTCTTTCTTTCTTTCTTTCTTTCTTTCTTTCTTTCTTTCATTCTTTATTTACAGGGTGATCCCAAAAAAAACTTTACAACTTTTTTCGTAAATATTTTCCTCCACACTGAAGCTTTCATCTTTAAATTTGAACACAATATTCCTCATTCAAAAGGAATTTGACTGATATTCATTTTAGATGATTCCACTAAATAATTCTGCAGTATAATGCCCATGTTTTTTTTTCTTTATGATTTTTATGTTCTGAAACTAAGTTTCTTCTGTATGAATTTTATGTTAAACAACTTCCTTTTGAATGAAGTTTATCTGTTTCAAATTTCATCTTTCCAGAACAACATTTGCACGAGATACTTAGAAAAAAAGTTGTTAAGTTTTTTTTGGATCACCCTATATTTGTTTGTTTATTAAAATTTGTTTATTTATTTATTTATTTATTTGTTTTTGCTTTTTCGAAAATTTTTCCAATTTCTGGGTGTTTCAAAACGCTGTTATGTGCACATACATAGTAGTCTCTGGTTGTCACTTGAAAACTTAATTTTGACTTTGATACACAAAAAACTGAGATTCGGCATCTGATCTATTTTCCTCTCGAAAAGACAAAGATGGCAATCTGGGGGGGGGGGATAAAACTTCAGAATGTATGGATCCAATACCATCAGCTCCTACGAAGATCATTTTGGGGTGTACATTTTGCGAGAGCATATACCCCCGGGGCAGGGCCACTGACGGAAGAGTCTTTAGGCCATTCCAAAAGGGGGGAAATTAACTTATTCTTCTGCACTGTAAAATTGTAAATGGGCTGATTCATCAATGTCATGCTCATAACTGTGCCTGAACTGTTGCAGGGAACTGCTGTTTTTCTTTCCTAATCCTTATTATCGTCATTGTCCTCTACTTCTTTTGTATGTCACACTCTTGTGACCCGCTATTTCCGGACGCCTTGATAGTTGTAGCAGACTTTGTGCTGTTGAAGCTTGATGGGTGAGCAGAGTAAGACTGATTCCCTGTAAGGACTTCTTTGTTGACATCCATCCCTTGGCACTCATATGACCTTACGCAGTTGCGAGCGCTGTAAAAACAACTAAAACTAAAACGAGAGCATATGGTTGTCTGCAAGACTAGACCTCTAGCTGTTGATCCCCTGCAAGCCTTGCAGTAAATTAATACTGACAAATTGGGTACCGATATGCACATTTTTCAATCCATCTATTCCCAAATAAGAATCTACGCTGTGATTGTGGTTCAATCTCCACACAGAGTTTAGTTTTAGTAAGAGTTTTACAGCACTTGAAACACAATAAGGTCATATAAGTGCCGAAGATTAGAAGTGTTACAAGAGAGTAACAAACACAAAAAAGAAGGAGGGGAGATAGAGAAGACAGATTTTTTATAGGAAATAAGGAACAAACCACACTAATAATAATTACGCGTTTTCCTGACGTACCAGGTCTGTCAGTTTTAGTTGCTTTAGCAAGGTTTTACGGCGCTCGCAACAGCATAAGGTCATATGAGCGCTAAGGGGTGGGTGTTAACAGAGAAGTCCAAACGGGGAACCAGGCTTACTCTATTCACCTTTCTAGCCCCAACAGCACAACGTCTGCTTCGACTATCAAGGCACCCTGGAAATAGCAGTTCACAAGAAAGTGACAAACATACAAAAGAAGTAGAGGATAAAATGACAATACGAAGGACGAGGAAAGAAAAAACAGGTATGTCATAAGATAACTGCAGTTGCGAGCGCCGTAAAACCCTCTACTATAAAAAAAAAGACAATGAAGGATCTAGGAGTTCAAAAAGTATAATAACACCATACCCTTCCAAGCTTCCAATCCTCCTTCCCTCAGTTTTTTCTGCTGTAGTTCAATCTTTTCCTCAATGAGAGCACTCTTGTGCCTGAGGGCTTGGGTCTGTGTGACGCTCAGACTGTCCTTCAGTTGGTAGATCTGTGGGGAAGGAAAAAAACCCAGTTGAGTCACTAAAAACGAAATCATTCGAGAACTACTTTAATCCACATAGCAACATCCCTGGACCTTGAAGAGATGAAAAGGTGAAAATTAAAAAAAGCATGATAAGCATATTCAAATACAAATCAATATCTTTTTTCAAAAAAGAAAAAATGCTTAAAAAAACAAACAACTTTACAAATTTGATTTTTGTCACAAACAGTATACAATGAGATCAATATTTCGAAAGATCACATTCCGTTAAATACCAAGACACAACAAAGAAGTTTCAGAAATAATAACAATAACGATAATACCAGTAATAATGATAATAATATGAATAATAATACAAATGATGATGATGATGAAGAGATTAACGATAATAATAGTGATAGGGTTGTCTGCTCCTTCTTTCCTATCAAACATCTATTGTCTCTATCTCCCCTCCATCTTTTTTTCTGTTTGTTACTCTCTTGTAACACCTCGAATCTTTGGAGCTTATATGTACTAATTGTGTTGCAAGTGCCGTAAAACTATTACTAAAACTAAACTAAAAAACTGGAGTTAGAACTCTGTCATTCTAAATGGCAAAAAATCGCTATCCCAGCATTACAAAGTTCTATCTGCTCAGTAGCCTACCTAGCTATGAGAAATTTGCTGTAAAAAATTTTTCAAACATGTCAAGCTTTTTCAAATGCAATTCTTTGAATATCTTGATAACGACTTGGAAAAATTGTAAGATTTTGACAGAGCAGATAGAACATTTGGTTTCTGACCTCATGATTTTAGTATAACTCGAAACGGCTGAAAATGTCAGATAGAACTTTGTAATTCTAACGACGGAAAATGTGAGGCGTGCCGACAAAATGAGCTACTTCTTGGATTCAAGTCTTTTAAGGAAATAGATACATCACGCTTATAGGTGAAGTTTTTACAATTTACAAGTATGAAATAATAAAAGACAGCTTATAGTAACTTATAGTTCAAGAATATGGCATCAACAGAAAATCTATAAATTTGACCCTAACGTTGATTTTCGGCCAATATCTCCATTTGTGGATTGAGAGAATAACTCATTTTGTCAGCATGACTCACAAATGTAATCAGTTCACTAACTTGTTTGTCCAGCATCCCCTTTTCATAGCGCAGGACTTCCATGCAGGTAGTTCCATCACTGGAAGAGAAAAAATGACACTGGAAAAAAAAAATCTGGTGAGCACTGTTTATCAGTTGTAACCAAGAGTCGTTAAGCATCGTTAATTTGTGGGCAGAATGGCACTTTCAAATCAAAGCTGCACTGATATTTAATACACTAGCGCCTGGCTATTTTTAGTTCTCATATCCCTCTGGGCCAGGTAATACTGCTGTCCCCCAGTCCAGAAGCCCAGCAAATGTGTGTGTGCCTGGAGAAAGCTCCCAGTCGTCGGACATTGCCGATATTGAAATAAGGGCAACATATTCTTGTATAGCAAATTCAATGCTGAACACGCTGATTTTTAAAGTTTTCAAATATCTCGATTAGTTTGAAAGATTTGCCACATTTTTAAACACTGAGTGTCAAAACAAACTTCGATGAAAAACTCAATTTCTAATTGAACTTTAAACCTTTGATGAAGTACAACATGATACAAAAATAACTAATAATAAAAAATATTTCGGTTTAAAATATCATTAAATCCTGTTGATATGTTATTAAGAAATTGTAAAACGTGTGTTTTCTGATGTAACTAAATTTTTGACCAAGTATGACTTTTTTGGCCTTATCACTCCGTTGCTCAAAAATAGCTTTGCCGACAACTGCGACCTTTGTCCAGCCGCATTCACAAACATTGATTGTGTCTGCAATTTTTTGCTGACATTAAAGAGATTTCTAAACTGCTTCTGTGTAAAGTTTAAAAAAAAATACCACAAAGAATATTTTTCAGAGACAATTGGACGGATTACGGTGAAAGTATGCCACAGTGTTTTAGGACGTCAGCGTCCCGAGAGGGGAAATATACACCACTGGGTCTGTAGGAAGGAGAACTCAGTAGGGAAATATACACCACTGGGCCTGTAGGAAGGAGAACTCAGTAGGGAAATATACGTGACGGGGCCTGTGGAAAAGAGAACTCAGGAGGGAAATATACACTACTAGTGCTGTTAGGGTTAAGAGACTAAACATGCATCGCCAACAGGACCCGATTTCTTATATAAATAACACACAGTGAAGGACATGGGTGTACAGCCAGTCACTCTCCCTACGTTTATCTTTTTCACTCGTTCCCTCCTTCTCTCTCTCACTATCTCTCTCTCTCTCTCTGCTCCCCCTCTCTGGAAATTTTTCTTTTCGATGTAAAAGGACAGTTCATCAAATGCAGCTCTGATGCAATTCTGTGCTTCTTCTAATCTACAGCAGCATCTCTTTAGTGACTGTGGACATCTTCATTGACAGTACATCTAAAATTCCATACAAACGTGAGTTACAGCAAGCTTCATACAATATGACAAAACAAAAATCACATGCTTCCAACCTACTTAAAAATAAGTCATACGCAAGCACAGCAACATTATAAGATCCTTCTTTAATACAACATTAAAGGACAAAAATTGTCAACCTTAAATTCACAGAATATAATAGGAAGCAGAGAAATCACCTTCAGACTCATACAATATATATTATATATATTTTTTTTTCTTTACAGAGGTCAAAGTGAAAGTACAGCTGCACTTGAAAATCCGCTAGAATTCACATTCATTTCACTATTGTTACTTTATAACAAATTCACAGAGGAATCTACAAACTACATATGAATTTGTAAAGAGAACTTTGGCAACAATTTATTCATTCTTAAAATTGTGGCTCAAATATTGACCAGATCATTTTCCCAAGGGAGGCAACAATAATTTAGTGGCTGGAACAACTAAGCGAAATCTTTTTTGGGGGGGGTAAGTGTTTTACGGTGCTCGCAACTGCATAAGGTCAAAAGAGTGCGCTGGACATATTAAACTTTTTCAGCTGGTAGGAAATTTTGAACTTTGCTCAGGTGGCGGGCGAAGCCTACTCGTATCGATTTTAGACCACTGAGGGATCTTTAACGTGCACAACTTGCACACAGGCCCCCAAGATTTTTCGCCCTTGTCCGAGAACACTAGGTGTAGATCTTTCCACCAGAAGATCAGGGTGTTGCTGAAAGACAGCAGTAAGAAGTAGCCAAGGAGTAGCAATAGAAAGGCTGCAGAAAGAGTCAGGAGCCCAGTAGAAGGGGCAAAGGAGGTGAGGGGGTGGGGGAAGAAAGTGGAGATGAAAACAGATCACAGAACATTTCTATAGAGCAGGAAAGGAGATGAAATAGAGAACAAACCGGATTCGAACAGTCATTCTGGCAGGCAGTGCAAAGTCTGTTAAGGAGGTTGACCATGATCACATTAAAATTGGTGATGCAAAAATTTTATTTTCAAGGAAAGTTAAGAATCTTGGTATCTATTTTGATTCTAGTTTGTCAAAGTCGGCTGAGGTAAATCATCTGATCAGCTGCATGTATTTAGAAATAAGAAAAATTAGTAAAATACGTCATCTGATCAATACCAAGTATACTGCTTTACTAGTAACTAGCTTAATTTTATCAAAACTCGATTATTGTAACTCCTTGTTATCAGGAATATCACTGGAGAAAGTTAAAAGACTTCAAACTGTCCAAAACAATGCAAATCGTTTAGTTTTACGGAAAAGAAAGCGAGACTCTGCTAAACCTCTTTTACGAACTTTGCATTGGCTTCCTGTTGAGAAAAGGATTGTGTGCAAGTTGGCCACCATATGTCACAAATGTTTGAATGATAATGCACCATCATATTTATCAAATCTGTTAAGACTGTACATTCCAACTCGCAGTTTAAGATCATCAGATGACAAAAAGAAATTTATTTTACCATCTATGAAACTTAAAACAATGGGTGAAAGGACATTTGAATACCAAGGCCCCAAGATCTGGAATGCTTTACCAAGTACGTTGAGAGAATCAAATCTTTTGATTCATTCAAATGTCAGCTGAAGTCGTTTCTGTTTTTAAATTAATAAGATGAATATTTGGAATAATTTTCTTTAGTCAGAACACAACGTTTCATGTTATTGTTGTATGTTGTACTGTATTGTAAAGCGCTCAGAGCCTGTGTACTTTATTCGGGGTTGAGCGTTATATAAATGTCATTTATTATTATTATTAATAAGAGGCCAACACTTTAACCTCTAGGTCACGAGAGCCCCCCCCCCCCGCAGCGATGGACTGGCATCATGCAAAGAAGAAACCACCAAAACTTACAAGAACTACATCTAGTGAAAAGTTTGGATGTATTGAACTTCTATTAAGAAAATCCATTTTTGTACTGGAGAGAAGAAGAATCAGGAAAGAGAAAAACAGAGACTCATGGAAATGTTTATGTTTGGTAAGAGTTTTACGGCACTTGTAACACAATAAGGTCATAAGTGCCGAAGATAAGAGAGTAACAAACACAACATAGAAGGAGCAGGGGAGATAAGGACGATAGATGTTTGATAGGTAAGAAGGAGCAAAGCACACCAGAGCACCCGTCAACCACCAACGCTCATGGAAAGTATCACAACACACTACATCGGATAAATAGAATACACCTGCTACAGAAATATAATTTTTAGTTGTAGCATGATTTTATTATTCAGTATTTCAATCATTTTCACATTGATTGTACAGCAGCTTCTACAAGGGGGGGGGGGGGGGGGGGGGGCAAAAGGCCTTATAATAACAAATAGAAAAACATTTTTATAACATGGTACAGAGAGTTTACCCATGTCTTTTCATTTTATCCTAATTTAAAAAGATAAAAGTTATGATCCCAATGTGCAAGGCAAAGATGAAATCCCCAAGGGAGGAGGAAGAGTTTAACCCTATCCGTACACCCTGGGGTCATTTTGTACCCCCGGGGTTGTATTCTTCACATTTTAGAATATTTCTAGTGCGAAGACCTTTTTGAAACTTTCAGTATTTCTCAAAAAATCATATTGACAGACTGCTATGCAAAGCGTACGGATCGGATTAATAATAATAATAATAAATGACATTTATGTAGCGCTCAACCCCCATTAAAGTAGACAGACTCTGAAAGCTTTACAATACAGTATAACGTACAACAGTAACATAAAATGTTGTGTTCTGACTAATCTGCAGATGCACAGTCAATCACAGTTTAGCTGAAAATACCACAATCACGGTAATACATTTGTTCAGAACACCAACACAATATGATGGCGACAATCAGCTTGCCCACACTGAAATGGACAAGGTCGATCGCCTGACACCGTCGTCTAAAAAATATGTTGTTGTTATGTTGTTATCGATCCAGCAACATCTGGGCGCTTGCCCTTCTGTCCAATGCCATGTAGTGATAAGTTAGGTCTCGGAGGGAGAAGGGTAGCTCTGATGTCATTTAGGGTTGTACAGTGGAAAAGGTGATGTTCCACTGTCTCATATGCATAGTCACACAAAGGACACATTGGGGGAAGTTCTGGTCCTAAAAAATATAAGCGTGTTTGTTTTCATATTCAGGCGACCGAGTCGGGCGATCGGCCTGATCCATCATGTAGTGGGCACCCGGTATTATTAAAACTGAACTAAGAAAAAGCAACTCATTGGAGAAAATATTACATAAAACTTGCAGGAAATCATAAATTGTCGACCTCTTATATACATTTTGTTCAAAGAAAGAAAAAAAAAGCTCAGTAGCTTCCTGCTTCAAAACAAATTAAATAAAAGGACATAGCATTAATAAAAATGGGCTTCATTTTTAAAAAAATGGACGGACGGTTTTGTAAAATCAAAGTAGAAACAACTTTCAGACTAAAAAAGGAAGAAAAAGAAGTATGAAAATCAACATAATGACAGTGGATAGGAAAGTAAGCACCCTGAAGAATCTATTACCTTCCCTCTAACAAAATTTGGCCTTTAAGTATTTAACAGGGATGAGCATTCATTCGAGATAAAGCAATAATTGAAATAAACAATACATTTTTATGTACACATAAAATAAATCATTGATGGTCAGGTCAGGTCATGCCATCTTAAGAATAAAAAAACAGCAGTTAGAGAAAGTTGGTTCGAAAATTGTGGGAAATAAAAAATCTTGAATAATTATTTCCTGTATTCCAAAATCCTTGATCATTGAAGATTTTAAAAAATAGAAAAATCCCAACAAATTCCTACAAGGTATAAAATATATACTTCTGAGAGTTCTGGTTTAACTTACCAAAGAACAGATAAATAATGAGCCACTGATAAAAACCTATTGTCCCAACTTTTTTCTGTTCTATCCTAAGTTGCTAAAAAAAAAAATTTTTTAGGGATGTAACAGCAGAGATGTGGAATGAGATGTGTATCATAAAAGCAGCCACAGTGAAAAGAAATCTTCCCCGGGACTAATTGGTAAATGGGATGCGCCTATGAGAATATCAGTCATGTTGCAAAAATAGCAATAATAATAATATGGTTTAATCACATAACATTCATTAAGTACATTATATACTGAGCGAATGGGTTTTTATCGAATTCAAATAAAATATACATACTTTTAGTTGTTTTTTTAAGAAGTATATTTTCATAAAATAAAAATGGGATGTTGAAGTTTTGCATAAAATGCATTTTCCATCAAAAATCGAAGTTTCCACTTCATTCTGCAAAATCTCAGCTCCAGGGTTAGCAGCATTTGACCTAATTTTCCCACTATGCCTGACAAATGTTACGTGTTACGTCTCATTTAACACTGTAAGATTATTTGTGTCACGACGCGATCAATTAGTAGATTAGTACAACTTTTGGTCATGTGAAGACATTGGTATTATCTAAAAGCTTATTCATTTGCCGCACAGTACCTTCAAGGGGAAAAAATACCCATCTATCTTGAAAAGCAGTCGCGATATTTGCGATAGAAGGAGAGGTCGCATGGTTTCAGTGATAAAATTAGCCAGAAAATGGCCGCGAAAGTTTGGTAATTTAAATAGCTTTAGAGTCCTTGAAAACCGAAATGTCACATATTATGTATGGGCCTTTAATCAACTTTCGTTTCTGTCAAATTTACACGGAAATCTGTTTTATATGGACATAAAATGTATTGAGCCAAAAAATGAAAATTCGATAAAAATTGCCAAACTGGCAGAAAAATGCCTGTTTCTTCGATTTCATTATTTTGACGAGCGCCTGATTTCACCACGATTCATGAAAAGGAGAGTCGTAGAGGGAGTTGATGGATGGATAACAAGAATGGGGTGGGGGGGGGTGTGTGTGTTAAAACAAAGAAAGATGGAGGAAAGAAAGGGTTGGGCG